GTGTTGAAAGGGTCAGGTGTCAGTACACACAAGTTTCACTGTACCTTGTACAGTACTTGTGTAATGAGACGGCGTCCAAGTGTAAAGCTATTTAAAGTGAATTTAACTAGTGATCCCTTTACTGACATAACAAAAACCATTAAATAATGAAAAGGTCACTAGAAATCCCTCTCCCAACACAACAGAAATACTATTGAAAGGTGAAGGTCACTAGAAATTCCTCTCCTGACATGCCAAAAATACTATTAAAAGCTGAAGGTTACTATCAATCCCTCTTCTGACATACCCAAAACACTACTGAAAGGTGAAGGTCACTAGAGATCCCTCTCCTGACATGCCAAAAATACTACTGAAAGGTGAAGGTTACTATCAATCCCTCTCCTGACATGCCAAACATACTACTGAAAGGTGAAGGTCATTGAAAATCCCTTTCCTGAAGCAGCATAAATCCATTACTTTACAAAGGTGAAGGTCATTGCAGATTCCTCTCCTGACATAGTGGTTTGTTCTTATCACAGGGATGTGAATGGCATTTCAGTCTCATTTTAAAACATTTATCTGTTTCTATAAAGTGAGCTGACAGACTACTCTGAAATCTGTCTATTGATTGTCATAGCCCTGTCTACTGGGGCTCCACGAACTTGTGGCAATTATCACGAGAATCTCCTTAATCAGCTGTTTTTTGTTTTATCTTGCATTTACAATAGTTCCCGGTTGTATATAAATCCTAGTTACAGACACAAGCTGATGAATAAGTAAGACAAATACCTCTCCTTCCACATTGGTAAGCTAATGAAACATTGATTGATCTGTGATGCCTGCCAGTATTGTCTTCCTCAGTCAGTAGAAGTTGCTATGGCAGACAAGTACTTGGGAATGAAGCTATAATATCGGTGTGTACGGGAGATTTAAACATCATATTACAGTTTAAAACCATTGCTTAGCTATTTAACTTTCGATCAGAATTAAAGAGTTCTAACACTACCATAATATATAATCTGATAGTATATATCCAGTCATTGATATTGTAGCTGAAGTTTGAGATATAGAGATTCCCCAAATGAGCGCTGGTTTGTTATCATTTATTATCTAACTCATGTTAGTTAATTTCGTAAATTTGTATTAAGACACCAGGTTTACCGAGTGTATTTTTAACTAGAGTAAATTAATATGATAACCAACCATCATGATTTTGAAGACCTTTTTCTCCCTTTGCATTCATATCGTATATAGATATTGGGGATACAGTTAAGGCAGTGCTATGGTCACCGCTGTCGTACTTTGATGTTGTGCTATTAACCGACTTCAGATATAGATAGGAATGTCGGTATAAAGGATTACATTAACACCAGCCCCTAATGACTGGTCACATCCTGGTCAATGGATGCCTGGACATGTACTTGTAATGGCTGGACATGCACCTGTATCTATTCACGGGGATGTCTTGTGCGTGACTCAGTGTCAAAACCAGTTTGGTCATCTTTATTTTGTAATTAGTTTTCAGGTGTTATTTCTCTTGTTGTCCATAAAATATGTATAAACTTGTTCCAGCTTTTGTAAAGTAGAACAAAACTTTTAGGAAAATTTAGTTACCAAATTAACTCATTTACCCCTGTATTTCGACAATGAAATTGGCTGTTCTTTGATTTGGAGCAGTCTAAATGCATTGCTAGGTGTCAGTAGGTTAATTGAAAGCTAGACATAGTTTAGCTGGTTTTGTGCCCTGTAATCTAGTTTTACTTTGACGTCAGCAGATGCTGTTATGTTCTGTTCTCATTCAACACATGGAAACTATTTTAAACATTTAGATTAATTCAAAATAATTGGATTTCACTTGTAATAGAAAACTTTTAAAGTACATTATTCTGTTTTCAAATTCATTTTGGTTCAGCAATCAATCAACTAGGCTGGCTATAATAACACTATGCTTATACTTTTATTGACAGATTATAATGTTCGTGTTTGTTTAAAAAATATGCATGAAGTTTTCTGATGTATTATTATGGTATTTAATGATACATTAAAGAAACAGCTATGCTTGAGAAGGAAAATCTTGAAATATTTTTTGAACGGTAAATTTGAGATTTATTGAACCTTGTCATGCAATATTAAACATGAAAGCTGGTACAAGTGATGTTCACATCATGATCAAGTACTTTATGATTTGAGGGTGTTGTATCAATCAGAACAAAAAAATGAAATTTCAATTACAGAGTTTAGAACTTGATGACTCCAGACGATAAAACTCTTGTGGTTGTATTTTGCTTGGTCATATAATTGTGTGTAGTCCGGTACACAGGGAGGTAGTTTATACACCGTCTGGAAAATAATAATGTTCATCTTCAAGCCTAAATCACATGGATGATTACGTTGACATTGAAGATAAAAATCTGATTGAACTCGGATATATCTCGGGTCATCACTGACCCAGAAAACATTCCATCAAAGTTAAACATAATACATTGGTTTTATCTTCTTACCTTTTTTTTAATCACATTAATTTTTTTAATTTTTTTTTCACAAACTCATTCAGTGAAATTATAATCACCTTTCTGCCAATGTTGTTTACTACACAAAGTTTTGGAGATGGTATCTTCATTGCCCTTGGCTGAACGAAAACTGATCCCTTTGATTGACTTTTTTGGCATACTTGTGTTATAATACTGGAGGAATTCCATTTGACTGGTGGTACCAATCTCCTAGATCTTACATGGACATAAATAATCATACCTATATGTGGCCAACTTTACTGACTGGTGGTAATTAGGCTAGCTATACAGTTAAACTTTCTCAAATTACAGCAACTTAAGATTGTTAATGTTTTATCAATTTTGTTGATTTTCGTTATCAATTTCATGCTCTTTCATTTTCATTCAGTAAATTTTAAATTGCTGATAGCAGGTTTAATTTATCTTGTATCTTTAAAATGACAGAACACACATATATATATATAGTTCCTGGCATTCTTTAGTTGTTGACAAACATATATTTAACAGTATATAAGAAGTTTAATAAATTCAGTTTTCATAATCATTATCTTATCAATTTATTTTTTAATCATCAATTTTTGTGAACATTTACTGTAAAGTCTAATTCACGGACATTAATGGTAAAGTGACATTAGGCTGTCTCCTTCATCATAATGAATCTACATCGAGGTAAATTACCTTCCCAGGTATTTAATACACAATGTTTTGCAGTGTACACCTATAGATGTGACACCTACCCTATAGAAGACACCAGTAATTGGCCGTAATATCTACCCAGCTTGATATTCCAATATCTCCATGGAATCTTGTGTCATGTTGTGATTTATTCGTAGAATTTTCTCGCAAGGAGGTTTACACAGGGGACAGTGTTGCATAATCTGTTATTTTCTAACTCTTATTTGGACTTGATGCATGCATCGTATAGTTGTAATTGTATATCTCGGTTAGGTGTTCAAAAGCCTACCCTTAATCTATTCTGTACAAAGGATCGAGGTAAATGTTATCGGGTGATCTTCAGTTATAGACGAAGCATTGCATATATATGCAGGAACCCTCTTCTGAAGTGTGGGATTCATAAACATGGAAGTTTAAATGGTACAAACATGTGGATATTGTATGGAGAATACATTATGTATATCCTGTACACACAACCCTGTAGTTAGTGTACTGGATCCAGCCTTTGTGTCCCACACCATACACATAGTAGTGTTGGCAAACAGTATTTCTGTTCAACAGGTGTTTGGTTGTAACGGTGTAATAAAATATTTCAAGTACATTTTGTTTTGTTCATGTTTAAATGTTCATCTACAGAACGTTTTAAACCATTTCCCGACTGTTTTATGCCCAGCCAACCCTAACATCATAAAATGACCAATTGAAATGTATGCATCATTTAGGCTTAGGAATGTGATTTAATGCTGGTAAGAAAGCCCCCCTATTTATGGTAGCTGTATATACAGGTACACTACACCTATATACATCAAAACTCATTTACAGTCAGCACTTCTGCAGAATTATTTATATTGGTGACCTTTGACCTTGTGACCTGTATAGTGATATGTGACCTACGACCTTGACAGTCAATACTGATATGGGAATACTATTGTAAAATGAATGTCGATTTGAATCTGGGCCTTGGAACAATGGTTTCTTTGAGAGCTTATATATCTTGTGTTGAAATGTATTCAGATCCGGTGTAGAATGAATTCAATGACATTTGTTCATGGGAAAATGGAATATAGGCAGTCAGCCTTCCACACTCATGAACGTCTTGTATTATAGGTAGTTTTTATCACAACATACCCATCACTGAGTTTGTTTTGTATCTCAAACAATTGTATCAAGAAAAGAAAGGTTGCTTCCTACATGAGAGTAACACATTATTCTAAAATGAAGAAAGACCTATCACCCAAGGCAGTTGTCCACTCCGAGTTGCTGAGAGTCTTGAATGCTTTATCAGATCTCTAGTACACTGTGCTAGTGTACCCAATCTCACAAAATGAAATGAATTGATGAAAATTGATTATCTAGTCCAAATAAAATGTATCATAGCATGTATGCTTGTTCCACAAATATAACACCTATCTCAGTGGTTTCAAACTTTACCATTATGACATCATAATGATGATGATGTCATCAATTGGGTTGTGGCATTCAAAGTTGGTATGAATGCCATTTGAGTTTAAAGGATTATAATTTAGTGGCATACCATGAATGAATCAATAAATCCAATGTCGTGACCTTCCATGGTGACCTTCGGTGACCTTCCATGGTGACTTTGCCACTGTACTTTTGGTATCCAATTGCATACTAACTTTTCCATGTATCCATGGTTACCTTATGTGTATCCATGGTAACTATAATACATGTTACTCTTTTCGCTGCACATATATCCCTGGTGACCTTATATGTATCCCGTGTGACCTTATATGTATCCATGGTAACAGTGTATGTTACTGTTTTCGCTGCACATATATCCCTGGTGACCTTGCAATCTTCTTGTCATTGTAGATTTGTGAACAGCACCTGTCCAATGAGGTTAATCCAGGAAACCATTACCGAGCTGTGTGTCGGGCCCTGGTGGCCGAGGCTCAGGAACTCTGCTCCTTCTTGGAACAAATCTCCACCGGTAAAGAGGTGTGTATGAAGAGTGCATTATACCTACCCCACAGACAAAACAAATACAATTTACTGTTGATTATTTAGTATATAAGTTATATCATGTCTGTCAGCATCTCTTCATGACCTTCAAAGTTGAAATCACTTTAAATTTAGTCTTGAAACTTTATAAATATATACGGTAGATACATGTAAAACTTGAATACAAATATTTCCTGTTGTAATTCAAATGACCAGTATTTTCTCAGGTCAAGAAAAAAAAATACAAATATATATTGAACCAGCATCTTACATTATCACATTTTCAGAAACTCACTAGAGGTATTAAGGAATGGTTTGAAGCATTATGTAGTAGATGATGAAGTTTGAGGAGTGTGAGCACAAATACTGAGGCTAAGGATGTTTGAAATGTAATTACAAGTAAATACATGTATATCCCATTTAGTGACTAGCCCCACCCAGCAAGCTGAGGATGGTATAAGTTTGTAATGTCATCAGGTCAGGCACTACTTAGAATAGTTTGAGGGTTAAAATTTGTTATAATACTCAATCTCAGGAAACTGATATGTTTAACATTTACATAAAACACATTTGTTTTAACATTAAGTGTTGTGGAGGGCCAGGGTGACACCAACAAAGCAGGAAAGGAGTAATGGAAAAACGTTAGGTCTCCTTAGCTTGGCCTCACCTAACAAATAGGGGGGAATAAATAGTAAGAGAGGTGTAATGGAGAAATGTTAGGTCTCCTTAGCTTGGCCTTACCTAACAAATAGGGGCAAAGAAATAGTAAGAGAGGTGTAATGGAGAAATGTTAGGTCTCCTTAGCTTGGCCTCACCTAACAAATAGGGGGGAATAAATAGTAAGAAAGGTGTAATGGAGAAATGTTAGGTCTCCTTAGCTTGGCCTCACCTAACAAATAGGGGCAAAGAAATAGTAAGAGAGGTGTAATGGAGAAATGTTACGTTTTCTTAGCTTGGCCTTACCTAACAAATAGGGGCAAATAAATAGTAAGAGAGGAGTAATGGAGAAATGTTAGGTCTCTTTCGCTTGGCCTCACCTAACAAATAGGGGCAAATAAATAGTAAGAGAGGTGTAATGGAGAAATGTTAGGTCTCCTTCGCTTGGCTTCGCCCTAATATTTGTTAGTGAATTTATTTGGATGTAAATTGGGATGAATGTGAAGTGATTGTTTGTATTTTCATGAAATTCTAGTAATCTGAGAAAGACAATTCAATTTGATTTCAGAAAATATTTTTACAAATGTACAGAATGTTAAACTTTGTAAGGCCAATATTTCACAATGGATGTCCTCAAAACGTCTTCATGGATTGATGATCTATTATGATTCCTGTTACTTACACCTTTGTTACAGAGTCTAAATGTAAAGGCGGAGGATGACCTAACAATATTAGATGATTTACAACGTAACGACTGGGTAAGTCATTCACTGACACCCTGTAAAATATACCTTACATGTAACATGTAGATGTAAAGCCAAATTATTCTTTCTAATATTTTAAATGATTTTTCACTTCATATGAGATTTATGAAACAAAACAGAAGCATATGTTTTAGCCTGGCACTTTTGAGCTAAAACTGAAAACTTTGGGATGGGTTTCATAAATCTTGTTTGAAAGTAAAACAAATTCAAAATCCTTTTCATCGCATTACAAAGATTGTTTGTGAATATTTTCAAAAAACATGGTCTCTTGGAGAAACTTCAACAGCACCATTTTGACTTTGTGTCGATTGTCTTATATGCAATATCACAGTGTCAGGACGGTATGTTGCCTCAAATCTGATGTCAGAGAATATAGGTGTTATAAATGTGAGGTGACATTCAATAAATATGACATGTTTTTATTCACTTCATGACACAATAGTCATGTAATAAGGTTTATTCTCTGGAACATTAACGCATTGCTGTCCTGTCATATGTCACTACCCATTATTGTAATGGGTAGACTAGAGCAACCAAGAATATAGGTTTAAGGATAAAATAACTATACAAAGGCATCTGTTATCTCCCAAAAATTTCAACAAGTAGTGATACATTTAGTGTATTGTTTTTTTAAAATTTCATTTGAATTTGATTAATGTTTGATTACCATACAACACGATGTTGTAAATGTGACCTATATATCTGTTATGAAGGCGAGGCTATGGGTACAGATAATGAAACAACTACGCCACGGGGTGAGGTTAAAAAGTGTAGAACACACTAACCTCACCCCTAGAGAATATGAGCTGACGCCGTTTGAGGTTCTACTGGAGGACATACGTACGAGGAGATACAACCTCAAAAAGACTGTGGTAAGTATTCCCCGTGTAAACGTAAGTCCATGTGGTGGTAGTTACAATAACTTGTTCTTTGTTGTTAGTTAATGTAGAAAATTCAAAGTGTCTCGGTAAGTCCTCATAGTACAATACCCAAAAAGTCCATGTTGGTAATAGTTAAAATACAAAATCGGTAATGTTCCTTCTTGTTAATTAGTATACAATATTCAAAAATCTTGATAGTCCTCATAATACAATGCTGAAAAAGTCCATGTTAGCGGTCCTCAAAATACTATGTTGGAAGAGTCCCTATTGATAACCCAAGAAGTCCATGTTGTTAGTCCTCATAATGCATCACTCCAAAAGTCCATATAGGTAGTAGCCGCAATCAATACACAACAGGACCATCCATGTTGGTGGTAGTATCTGTACATGTGGGCAAGTCTCGATACTCTCACAAAACCCTGTAGGTATAGTCCTTGTACAATACTCAAAAAGAACCCATGAGGGCAAGTCTCGATACTCTCACAAAACCCTGTAGGTATAGTCCTTGTACAATACTCAAAAAGAACCCATGAGGGCAAGTCTCGATACTCTCACAAAACCCTGTAGGTATAGTCCTTGTACAATACTCAAAAAGAACCCATGAGGGCAAGTCTCGATACTCTCACAAAACCCTGTAGGTATAGTCCTTGTACAATACTCAAAAAGAACCCATGAGGGCAAGTCTCGATACTCTCACAAAACCCTGTAGGTATAGTCCTTGTACAATACTCAAAAAGAACCCATGAGGGCAAGTCTCGATACTCTCACAAAACCCTGTAGGTATAGTCCTTGTACAATACTCAAAAAGAACCCATGAGGGCAAGTCTCGATACTCTCACAAAACCCTGTAGGTATAGTCCTTGTACAATACTCAAAAAGAACCCATGAGGGCAAGTCTCGATACTCTCACAAAACCCTGTAGGTATAGTCCTTGTACAATACTCAAAAAGAACCCATGAGGGCAAGTCTCGATACTCTCACAAAACCCTGTAGGTATAGTCCTTGTACAATACTCAAAAAGAACCCATGAGGGCAAGTCTCGATACTCTCACAAAACCCTGTAGGTATAGTCCTTGTACAATACTCAAAAAGAACCCATGAGGGCAAGTCTCGATACTCTCACAAAACCCTGTAGGTATAGTCCTTGTACAATACTCAAAAAGAACCCATGAGGGCAAGTCTCGATACTCTCACAAAACCCTGTAGGTATAGTCCTTGTACAATACTCAAAAAGAACCCATGAGGGCAAGTCTCGATACTCTCACAAAACCCTGTAGGTATAGTCCTTGTACAATACTCAAAAAGAACCCATGAGGGCAAGTCTCGATACTCTCACAAAACCCTGTAGGTATAGTCCTTGTACAATACTCAAAAAGAACCCATGAGGGCAAGTCTCGATACTCTCACAAAACCCTGTAGGTATAGTCCTTGTACAATACTCAAAAAGAACCCATGAGGGCAAGTCTCGATACTCTCACAAAACCCTGTAGGTATAGTCCTTGTACAATACTCAAAAAGAACCCATGAGGGCAAGTCTCGATACTCTCACAAAACCCTGTAGGTATAGTCCTTGTACAATACTCAAAAAGAACCCATGAGGGCAAGTCTCGATACTCTCACAAAACCCTGTAGGTATAGTCCTTGTACAATACTCAAAAAGAACCCATGAGGGCAAGTCTCAATACTCTCACAAACCCTGTAGGTATAGTCCTTTTACAATACTCAAAAAAATCATGTGGGCAAGTTTCAATACACTCAAATACCCTGTAGGTAGTCCTTGTATAATACTCAAAAAATCATGTGGGCAAGTCTCGATACTCTCCCAAATCCCTGTAGGTATAGTCCTTGTACAATACTCAAAAAGAACCCATGAGGGCAAGTCTCAATACTCTCACAAACCCCTGTAGGTATAGTCCTTGTACAATACTCAAAAAAAACATGAGGGCAAGTCTCAATACTCTCACAAAACCCTGTAGGGATAGTCCTTGTACAATACTCAAAAAAAACATGAGGGCAAGTCTCGATACACTCTCAAAACCCTGTAGGTATAGTCCTTGTACAATACTCAAAAAAAAAACATGAGGGCAAGTCTCAATACTCTCACAAAACCCTGTAGGTATAGTCCTTGTACAATACTCAAAAAAAACATGAGGGCAAGTCTCAATACTCTCACAAAACACTGTAGGTAGTCCTTGTACAATACTAAAAAAATCATGTGGGCAAGTCTCAACACACTCACAAAACACTGTAGGTATAGTCCTTGTACAATACTCAAAAAAAATCATGTGGGCAAGTCTTGATACACTCACAAAACCCTGTAGGTATAGTCCTTGTACAATACTCTAAAACATTACGTGAGAAAGTCTTGATACACTCACAAAACACTGTAGGTATAGTCCTTGTACAATACTCTAAAACATTACGTGGGAAATTCTTGATACACTCAAAAACCATGTAGGTAGTCCTTGCACAATATTGTTAAACTCTCTTTAGCCTTAGACATTAAACTCAACATTATCAGAAATGGCTCCACAAAACAATTAACTGTAGGTCTCTGTAATAACCTGCTTTTACTTGTGTGCATTACAAGACGGAATCATAAGATATGAACTTGAGAAATTTAAAGCAAAGTGTATTCAAACATAGTCTATTTATAAATTCCACAATAAAAATAAGGTTGAAAATAAAAGGTCTCAACAAATGTTTGGTGTTATCACTAATTGGTAACAGTCATCTACTAGACTCGGTGATTGACCCCTATGTATGGGTGATTGACCCCTATGTATGACGGTATCATGGTGTAAAACAAATCACTATGTATATAATGTCAACATGATAAGCCTCGATTGCTGCGACAGGTGTCTTGGTAGAGAAGTAATGTTGTAATTTGTATGTATGAACATTGTTTTTTTCAGTCTTATTAGAGATATGATGTTTAAACGTTCATGTACAAACATTTCTTTATTACTTATAGTAGAGAAATAATGCCGTAACGTTTATGTACAGACATGTTTTATTGGCCTGTTATACATTGACCTGTAACATAACAGAATATCTCCCTGTAGAACATCCATTAAATGCCTATGAGATGTTGCCTAATTGATGTCTCTCTGTGTAAAACAGCTCTGCAATTGGCTGTTTGAGGTCATGTGACATGGCCTTTTATATTTTTATCAGCTTGTCTAGGTACTTCCTAATAGAAAAACTAACACTTAATGTTATTTAATACATTGATAATTGAGAGATAACAGTTAAGATGTTAACCCTTTGACCCCTATGTAACTTTAATAAACTCTTACCATAAAATGTTCTGGATGAGTCCATTATGGTCTACAGTGTTGAAAGAGTTAATGCATGTTATGGCCTGATTGTTGAGGGTATTCTGCTTGTGATCATACAAATTTCTGATTAACCCCTTGAGGAATGCACTTGATTCATTCTGATTGCTTGAATGATTTTTCTGTTTTTGCATGAGATAACAGATTTTTAATTGGTGTTTGTTACACAATAAAATGACTGGTTATTGGTGATGTACAAATGATAATAACTTGTCTGTAATATCGCAAAGAGTAATTACAAAGAGGTATTTCACCCTAGAATACTGGAACAAAGCTCCTGTAACCAGTAACATTCACTGTCTCTATACTTAATATTCTTCAACTGATTTAAAATGACAATCTGTTTAGATTAGATTACTGTATGTTTAGAATTAGTCAAGATTGTTTTTTACTGATTTAAATTGACAAACTGTTCCTTTAAACCAGGAAATGTTATTTTAAAGTTTTGTATAAAATCTGATGTGTATAACCTAACATGTAACAGAAAAATGTGACGGATTTAAATAAACGATCTGTTTCCTTAATCCAGAAAATATTGTTCCACAGTTTGTATATAAATCCGACGTGTACAACCTAACACACTGTTCCACTACATCATTGCTATTGTATGATGTGATATAATCTGAAAAATGACATAACATTATTTTTTCGACCTCACAATATTACATGGAGGGGAGATGTTGATAAGTAATAAGTATTGCTCATGTTTGTCTCATCCTGTTCTGGTCCAGTAGCATTGCTCTAACATTGTTAGTCAGGGTTCAACGGTCAAGACCAAGGTTACTTTTACTATTTATAGAAATTTGTAAACCAATTCAGTTTCATCACTGTAACGACTTTGTTTTTTTAACCAATTTTGATCAAACTTTATGCAAAGGTGAAATATGAGAATAAAGACTTTCTTGAAACTAGATTTCCTACTATTGAGGAATGACTGCATGTTTTTCTGCGTGTACTGCTGATGCTGTTTTATACCTGTGTGTGTTGACCTTCCTTTACAGGTAAATGGTGACATCCCACTCAAGGTGAAAAGTGATGCGCATGCTGTGATACTTGATTTCATTCGATCTCGCCCCCCTCTACATTCCGTAAGTCTTTAATTCTCGCATGTTACTTGCATGATTCACCATTTTAATCAGAAACACAAATTTCATCTTTCCACCTGGCACCTGATATTCATATATTAACTATAAATATTTTACAGGTAGATCAATTTGATTAGTTACTGTGATTTCAAAGCATACCTGTCTATGTCAATATACCTGTTGGACATGGATGGGCTTATTGCCAACTTAGCCATAATGATTAAAATGTGAATGTATTGGATGTATACAGGTGGTCCCTTGTCTTTAGAGACCTATATATATATATAACATTGTTGTTGGGACCTACTACCTACCAAAATAAGTAAATAATGGGAGTACTTTAAGGTAAAGGGTACCACTACATCCGTTATAATCGCACAGAAGAGTTCCACTCAGGGTATTCCTGACTTGGAATATTCTCCCTTCTATATAATTGATAAAACAACCAAAAGGAGTTGTTCTGGCTTAGAGTAACTTCCCCTGTCAAGTTTTTCACAGTCTTTGCAGCCCATAAATTGGACACTTATTTTGATATTGTGCTTTCAGTAGTCCTGTTTGGCAATATTAGTAAAGTATAGGCGTTGCTATGTAAGTGTCCCGAGTTCGACCCCTGTTGTCGTTTTCCATCATTTTTGTTATTTCTATAATGCATGGCAATATGCGATTTTTATGAAATTTTTCTTTCGAAAAGGATTTTTTTTTTCCCTCTCACAATGGTGACAATTGTAATAATATAGTTTGATTTGTTGGAACACTTTACATTAAGGCTGTATGCTGTATTAAAAGCAGCCAGTTGTTCAAAATTAACAAACTTTTTCATTTCTGATTAATTGTCAAAATTTCGTCATTGAACTACATTAGAATGGCTTTGATTTACTATTTGAATCAATTTCAAAGGGACTTGAAATGATATAAGATTGTATCATTGTTACAACCACAAGTGTTGGGAGAGCTGTGTCCTTTCTGTTTGTAGAGAATGACTATTGGAGACTCATTATTCACATACTGCTATACATAATCATGGTGCACAGTACAGACAGGCTTCTACATAGCTAAACTGGCAAATAATAACATATAAAGGAAGATTTTCAGGTAAAAAGCGTTACATATGAGGAAATATTACTGTGTTAGATAATGCAATATTGTCAAAATTATATACTCTATATTATCTAATGGATAAAAATCTTCCTTACTGGAGAATTCCTTGGGGAGAAAGGCAATTTATGAAAATGTCTATAAAAAAATGATAATAGGATCTGGAAATATGATATTCAAGGAATGAAAAATAACTTGGGAGATCTGGTGTTAGCTTCCTTCCTGTAGCCATGGAGCTTAAGATGAAAGGGTTTCTCACAGACGGGTGAAAACCTGTGTTACATACCAATAGGTAGTCGGGGCAGGCTGTCATCAGCCTATAAAACCAGGTAATGGTCTGAGGGCTGATGTCTTACTGTAGTAAACAGTTTCATACAAGGTTGTCAAAAGGTTATAGAACCCTGTCACTGTGTTCTGGTGATCATGTCCAGTCATAAAGTGGTCAGGGTGATGTATGTCCCCATAATGGTAATGTCCAGTGTACAAGCTCTGGAGTCCTAACAGATCCATATATACAAACTCTGGTATCAGTGTGTCCGAACAGATCAGTGTATACAAGCTGTGGTACTGGTGTGTCCTAACAGATCAGTGTATACAAGCTCTGGTACTGGTGTGTCCGAACAAATCAGTGTATACAAACTCTGGTATCAGTGTGTCCGAACAGATCAGTGTATACAAGCTCTGGTACTGGTGTGTCCTAACAGATCAGTGTATACAAACTCTGGTACTGGTGTGTCCGAACAAATCAGTGTATACAAACTCTGGTACCAGTGTGTCCTAACAGATCAGTGTATACAAGGTCTGGTACTGGTGTGTCCGAACAAATCAGTGTATACAAACTGTGGTACTGGTGGGTCCTAACAGATCAGTGTATACAAGCTGTGGTACTGGTGGGTCCTAACAGATCAGTGTATACAAACTCTGGTACCAGTGTGTCCTAACATATCAGTGTATACAAGCTCTGGTACTGGTGTGTCCGACCAAATCAGTGTATACAAACTCTGGTACCAGTGTGTCCTAACATATAAGTGTATACAAGCTCCGGTACCAGTGTGTCCTAACAGATCAGTGTATACAAGCTCCGGTACTGGTGTGTCCTAACAGATCAGTGTATACAAGTTCTGGTACTGGTGTGTCCTAACAGATCAGTGTATACAAGGTACTGGTGTGTCCTAACAGATCAGTGTATACAAACTCCGGTACCAGTGTGTCCTAACATATCAGTGTATACAAGCTCCGGTACCAGTGTGTTCTAACACATCAGTGTATACAAGCTCTGGTACTGGTGTGTCCTAACAGATCAGTGTATACAAGCTCTGGTACTGGTGAGTTCTAACAGATCCGTGTATACAAGCTCCGGTACCAGGGTGGCCTAACATATCAGTGTATACAAGCTCCGGTGCCAGTGTGTCCTAACATATCAGTGGATACAAGCTCCGGTACCAGTGTGTCCCAACATAGCAGTGTATACAAGCTCTGGTACTAGTGTGTCCTAACAGATCAGTGTATACAAGGTACGGGTGTGTCCTAACATATCAGTGTATACAAGCTCCGGTACCAGTGTGTCCCAACATATCAGTGTATACAAGCTCTGGTACTGGTGTGTTCTAACAGATCAGTGTATACAAGCTCCGGTACCAGTGTGTCCTAACATATCAGTGTATACAAGCTCCGGTAGCAGTGTGTCCTAACATATCAGTGTATACAAGATCTGGTACTGGTGTGTTCTAACAGATCAGTGTATACAAGCTCCGGTACTGGTGTGTCCTAACAGATCAGTGTATACAAGGTCTGGTACTGGTGTGTTCTAACAGATTAGTGTATACAAGCTCCGGTACCAGTGTGTCCTAACATATCAGTGTATACAAACTCTGGTACTAGTGTGTCCTAAAAATAACAGCTAGGTGAGTACCTTCTGCTGGAAAGTATGGCAGCGGACAATAGTTGCCTGCTTAACTTTACATTGTGTTGACATAGTTTCTTACAACACAACCTGCTATAATGAAAAATGCTAGGCTGTCATGCATTAATACAAATACACATTCATGCATTTATACAAATACACATAATCTGTAATTTCACTTCCAATTCTGCAAAGTGGATTTATATTAGTCCTGGTGTTAAAGACTTTCTTTTTCTCTATAAAATATTTCAAAATGAAATGGATTAGGACAGGTTTGATGAATGTTATGATTTTCATTTTTAGCTTCTATGCATCATGAGATTCAAGGTTTGCATGCCTTTTAACAAGCTTTCTAATTTGAAGTATTCGTGTAACTTGAGCATGTGTGTGTGAGGTACATTGTACCTACGTACTCCAGCTGTGTCCGAGTGGTCAGCTTGGGACAGCCAGGACAGGGGAAGATTATCACGTATTATTGTTACAGCTTGGGGTACTTAGTGAAATCCTGTTAAACTGTCACTGACCACCATTGTGATAAGGGCCCTATGGCCGCAGGTTGTTGTCACAATGACAGATAGGATCTGCTGACCACTGGTCACTCGTGACAAATGTCCACATCAGATTTTATTAATACTATACATTTGTAGACAAAATACATCAATACAATTTCAATTTTTACATATTTTCACAATGAAAGAATATATAATAGATTCCGGTAGGCATTGTAAAAGCAGGTCATTTCTGTACATAGAGATGGGTACAGCTATCATATATTTAGGATATACACCTCACCTATTTTTGTTTAGACAAAGTATTTCTCCTTTGAAGTATTATTAGGACAACACACTTTTGGACTCAAGTCTCCTGTTAACATTTTTCAATAACATTTATCTACTACCAATTTCAGTGTAGGGACGAAGGCTTGTTCGTAATTCCCAGGTATACGACACAATACAGGGCAGTATTATGTTAGTGAGGTGACCATGGGACTGTCCAGATTGTCTATAATAGATCCTGGCTGAAATGTACAAAACAAATTATATAGCAATATGTGAACTCTATGAGCAAAGATACTCACTTTTGAGAAGATTTAAAAAAATGATTTACAGATGAAAAATTATTCATCTTGAGACTAATATGTAAGGCACGCATATGTTTAGTTGATTCCATGGGTGAGGGGACATCAATTCACAGAGAATCACATTGAATTCAGGTTGTTTATGTCTATATCAGGCAGTGTAACACCTGAGAGGTATAATTGGCCACAATCGGACCATTCAACCAATCAATGGTCAGCACGCATTAGGACAACCGTTCAAAGGTCAACATTTATTCAGTCAATAATGTTGATCATAGCAACCATTTACGAGCACTTAGACGTGTTCTTTACCATCAAATTATTCTAATTTTGCTTTGGTGAAGAGGATTATACAAAACAGTCAGATAAATACAGTATATTAGTATTGTACCCCTGTGTGAATGCATTGATCCTCTGCACCATTCCTTGCGATACATACATAAGGACCCGCTTCCATGCAGCTTGCATATATTTTCACTTATAACAATCTATTATCAGTATTTCATCTTACTTGTACGTATACTGAGGACTGGGTCAGTCTGTCAGTGTTAAACTTATTATCCATAAATGTCTTTATATTATGTCAACACATTAATATATGCAGTTTGTGTATGAGACAAACTAAATAGACCAAAACCACATGGACCCTAAAGATTATACCCAAATGAGAAATAACAACATAAAATACTATCCTCCTAACGCTACTATTACAGACCAAATATCTTGAGTGCGTGAATAAGAATAGAGCACATATATTATATATGTCAAAGGGTCAATCAATTCGAGCATATTTTTTAGATGACATAGAACCAAAGCACTTAAGGGTTAAGGAACTTGCATAGCTTTTCAAGTTTATTAAGAATGTTTTTGATATAGTTATATGACAGTTTTCAGGTGGTCAAGACTACATGTGCTGTGCACACCCCA